CAGTGCTTCAAACACTTGACACGTCTTCGAGTCGACGGATATTTTAGCGAAGAGTTTGTTTTGAGCAGTGATTGGTTTAATGGGTTTAAAGGCTTAAGTCATTTGAAATTCAAGTCTGATTTTGAAGATAATTCACTCGTTTTTGACTCGTTTTTCGAGAATATTAGCAATAATTTACCGCTTCTTCGATGTCTGGACGTGAACTGCGCCGACATTACCGATGAGGCCATCAAATGGCTGTCAAAACTGCCGGAATTGCAGTTTTGTAAAATACAGGCAACTCATGGTATCGCACACTCGACTGTCAATAATCTGTTTGACACTACTGTCAGTCGGAAACTGAAACATTTTATACATATGATCATATATGATTATGATCAACTCATTATTTGAATTGATTTACATTTTTACTATTTTATATGCAAAAATAGTTATTTAAATCTTGTAATTAATATCTCTAATATCTAATTAGATTATTTAATAAATAGTTTTAGTAAATATAATGTTATCAATTAATTGTTAAGTGATTAAAACATTTTATTATGCAATTAATTGCTGCCCTTTATATCAATTAATCAAATAAATCATCAATTAATTCACACTTAATTAAAATATCAGACATAATGCAAACAAACCAATTGGCATAAGTCTATTGTATTGTAAGTGATTTGATATTCATTGACGTAAAAGTCAATAAAATTAATATGATGGTAAAAATTATTGAGACAATTAATGATAAGTATAAAAACATCAAACGTTTGCATATATGGTCTGAAGTGTCATCAAAACTAGTTTTATTTAGTAAAATGTTTAACGAATTAAAATTGTTGACACATTTAATGCTTATTTCATACGGTTATACATTTGTGGACACATTTGTAGCCGAAATAGACAAACATTTACCACGACTTCAATACTTATATCTGGAAAATACAGATTTTAGTGAAAAAGGTTTGAAATCATTAGCAAAACTTAAATGTTTGCAAAGTATTCAATTGTTTAGTAATCAAAACACTACACAAATAGCTGTCAATAAAAATCCGATCATAAATTGTCCTAAAATTAGGCAAATTTTATTGAGAAATGAAAATTCTTAAAAACATTTTGTGAGAATTTATTACATTTAATTGTCATTTGGTTATAAAAACTTAATGTGTTTTTGATTGCATCATACTTTGAGTACTTGTTTTGTTAATTAAATACTCCCCTAGAAATAGCATGTGTTTTATTATATGTGCAATAAATTCATAACAAATACCTGTATATTATGTGAGTTAACGCCGACTCTAAATACATAAATGTAAAATTTCAAGGCTTTTCTCTATAGATACTAAATTGAAGCAAAAATTATTAACGATTTTTATACGAAATAATAATAAATAACAAACATTTTGTTAAGTAATAAATTATTGACAAAATGTATGCCAAAGACTCTTTTGATCGCTTCGATGATGACATGTGTGCACACATATTGTCTTACCTGTCATTTGAGGACCGATTCCGGTGTGAATGTGTGTCCAAACAGTGGCAGAGAGTGGTCTTCACGACACAAACAAACTTTATTCTTGACTGGAATCTAATGACACTTTTGACGGGAAGAGCAGATCCGGTGCCGATTGGTGTTCAAGACATCGCAACACTAGAAGTGATACTCAAAAAGTGTCTAAACATCACTCATATTGAGCTGAGTTTCAGAGAAGTTACCGATCAAATGGTAGATCTAATCCATAGCCACTGCCCTCACCTAAAAGCTATCGATTGGACTGATTTGAGTGAATCCGATCAGTCGGAAACTGAGACATTTGTTTATGATTATGATTAACTTATTATTTGAATTGATTTTATAATTAGGTATGTCATTAATTTGAATTGATTTACATTATGTGAATACATATTTATGTAGTAAAGTAGTTACTTTAATAACGCTCATAATTAATATCTCTAATATCTAATTAGATTATTTAATAAATAGTTTTTAGTAAATGTTTTGTCAATTAAGCAAGTATTTAAAACATTTTATTATACAATTAATTGCTGGCCTTTATATAAATTAATCAAATAAATCATTAATTAANAAATTAATCAAATAAATCATTAATTAATTAACAATTAATTAAAATATCAGACATAATGCAAACAAACCAATTGGCATAAGTCTATTGTATTGTAAGTGATTTGATATTTATTGGCGTAAAAAGCAATAAAATTAGTATAAATTGTTTCAATCACTTCTTGTTTCACATCTCTCTGTATTTTATATATTTTATTATTAATTAAAATCGGAATGAATTTATTGTTTTGATAATATTGTGAATAGATTTGTCCCATTTCTCTGTAATAATCATTTGACAGCACTTTAGTGGTTAGGTTAAGTGGTTTGCGCTCATTTGTAAATAACTCAACAAATTTACCAAGAACATTTTGCTCGTAATTTTCCCAAAAATGTAATCCATTTGTTGTGTCAAAATATATTCCATGAGTATACCAAGTGATTGCTTTCACGCCATTTATGTTTGATATCAATCGGGGTATAACTACTTCATCATCGCTTATATTGTGTCCCAATTGATGGCAATTGTTGTCACCCCAACTGAACACATGTCCATCGGATGTGATAGCAAACGAAGAGTTACATAAACAATGAATGGATTGTATTTTGTGGTTATTAATGAAGTTTATTTCAAATGGCTGAGATATGTTGCCACTAATTTTACCACAACCAATTTGGCCCAATTTATTCCAACCCCACGCATATACCCGACCATCACTTGTGAGGGCCAGTGTGTGATTATAACCACAAGAGAGTTGTACAATAATTTTATCATTAAAATACGATATTTGTTGAGGTTTGCGACAATTTCCATAATCACCCTGGGCTACTTGTCCGCCACTATTATTACCAAAACCGTATATCATATTCATGTCGTTCACTGTTAATACAAAATCAATTCCATTGACAAAGTATTGTATGTTTTGATGACATAATTGTGGTATTATTTCTGGCGATAGTATAGGCCTGTCGTGTCCTAAGCCAAGACATCCCCGGCTATTATTACCAAATCCATAGACCATATCATCTGTTGTGACGAATAATACATTAAAATATGTGGTAATATCTGTGAAAACATGTAATTTTGATATTTTTTGTTTAATATGTGTCGGAAATGTATCGCAAATTTTGAAACTGTTTAATAATTCACACATTTTAGGAACATTGAAGTTAATTATTACAAATGATTATTACAATAATTTTATTTAATATGAAACAATTTCTAAAAACTTTTGAAATATGATAATTATTTAGTTAATTAATTCTACGTTTAAAGTTTTTAGCTGTAAAATAGTTATAACAAAGAATAATATAATAATATGTATTTTACGTCAATGATAAGTCTATGTCATAGACTCTCATAGACTCTATGAATAATAAAATGATACGAGACCTGCAAAAACAATTGTAATAATCATTGAATTACTGAATTAAATCATTATTTTATTAGAACTAATTTATAATTCATGATAAAAACCATAGTTTGTCATCTCTATAATATAAAATTATTCCTAACTTTGCATTTTTCTATTGCTCTCTCTCTCTCTCTCTCTCTCTCTCTCTCTCTCTCATAAAAATATAACAGAAAACTGTAACAAAACAATTGCTATGAAATTGTGAGCAGAAATAATTTTTATTAAAAAATGTTTTCATAGATTTAAGATTAGATTTAAGTTTAAATTATAAGATTGTGTAAAACAGCTGTCAATGTATTGCAATACAATTATCAATAGTTTGCTGATTGTTATTGTTATTAACAAAATTAATTTCTCGTATATTAACGCACTTTTTCACTATTGTCTCAAATATGGGTAGAATATTGCGATTATATTTCACAAAGCCACAAAGCCCAATGCATTACAAATAGTTGAATGTTGTTACATGTATTTTCACACTTTAACTAAAACTTGTTCAAATTAGTTGATTAGAGATTTTTATAATGGTCAATGTATTGCAATACAAAAGGGCTATCAATGAGAGTGTGTAAAAAGGACTATAAACATGAAGTACCATGGTACAACAAACAGCGCTGTAAATGGTTAACCAATTAAATAATCATGATTAAGTGTATGATAGCCTAAAAAGTCCTTTTGTCATTTTAAATTTATTATTAAAATATATTTATTAATACTTTTTTATATTAAATTGCATTTTAATAAATTGACCATTATAAAAATCTCTAATCAACTAATTTGAACAAGTTTTAGTTAAAGTGTGAAAATACATGTAACAACATGCAACTATTTGTAATGCATTGGGCTTTGTGGCTTTGTGAAATTACACAGTTTTCCCATTAATTTTAAAGTAATATCAATAACCAAAATACAGAATTTGTGGACTAAATATAATATGTTTCAAAACAAAATAAATTCATTAATATAAAATATAAAAATTAACTCTGTTTGCAATTCATGTATCATTTTCAGATATATTTTAAGTTTTTAATTATATATTAAGTTGTCACATTTTGAATTAAATTATTAGATGTGCAATTATGCACCTTATACACTAATAATCTACTAAATATTATTAAGAAATTAAGTAATATTATCTTTATAATATTTATACTTTACAATATGTTAAAGTGTATGTGGTACAGTATTGCTCAATTTAAAGGACAATCAGAAATAAATTGATAATAATGTTAAAAACAATTGAAAGTAATCGATAAAAGAAATATAACTGCAAATAATAAATTACTGGCGAAAATATTTTATACATTTAATAATGTAAATATTAATGAACATTTACCGGAAATTTCTAGAACATTTTGAAAATTAGAACAATTAACTTTAGCGTAACAAATATTATCAAATAAAAAATTTACCAATGTTGATTAATATGTAATATTATCAATCGGCCAGTGCACAAGGTCCACCAATCTTACGCTATATATAGATTTGTTTGAACAAAATAGTCATTCATTTATCAATTTTTGAATTTTGTATGTTTAGAAATCAAAGCATTAAAATGTTTATTAAATTATTTTCGTTTGTGTTTTTGGGCTACGTTTTGTGCATAACTAATGGTAAGAATATTCCTACAACACGTGACAATAACTTATTTAATAATTATAATATTTACATATTTGATATTATAAAGCCGAGGCATATAAGGAGTCATACGGCTATACAACTGTACGTCCGGGCGCTCACATGTTTTCATGGCTTTTCTCACCCAAAACTAGCAATAACTCGAATGCACTGCCACTGGTTATATGGCTTCAGGGTTTGTCCATTGAATACAATTAAAAATAATCAATGATTAAAAATATTGCCAATGTATTGGTGAACAGGAGGTCCGGGTGCGAGTTCTGCCGGTTTTGGAAATTTTCAAGAAATCGGACCGTTAGACACGAATATGAAAGTGAGAAACACTTCATGGATTAAATACGCGAATCTGCTATTCATTGACAATCCTGTGGGCGCGGGATATAGTTATGTCGACAACAGTAGTCTCTTAACCAAGAATAACAATGAGATCGCCAAAGATTTGGTCACTTTTATGAAAGAATTCTATAAGAAATCGCCAGAATTTGAAGTAAATATATAATAAATTGAATTCATTACAAAAATAGTTATAACAGTTAATAACTCGATTTCCAGTCGACGCCATTGTATATCTTCTGCGAGTCATACGGCGGTAAAATGACCCCAACTTTTGCCAAAGAGTTGCATCGAGCCATTCAAAACAAAGAGATCAAGGCCAATTTCAAGGGCATAGCGTTGGGCGATGGATGGGTCTCACCCATAGACTCGGTGTCCACGTGGGGACAGTATCTCTACACTTTGGTATGTATGCCATAAAAATTCATTTTATTATTTTATTTTTTAATTAATTGTTTTATGAAGTCATACATCGATAGACACCAAAAGAGTCAAATCGATGCCAAAGCCGAAGAGATCAGAACTGCTCTGAAAAATGGCAAATATTCAGAGGCGACCGATAAGTGGTCAGCTTTGGGGCAATTTGTTATGGCCACAGACGGTGGTATCGACTGGTATAATGTACTTTTCGGATCAAACTTTCCAACCAATTCAAAATATCTGAATCAAATAAACTCATTGAGTAATACAACACACAAGAGTAGTATTGTTAGACATTTGGCTCCATATCATAATGCTGATTTGGCCACATTAATGAACGGCCCCATTAAGACCAAACTTAGGTATGTTATGACCACTAAAGCACACATTTGTGATACAATATTACAGTTAACGCAAAAATGTATGTGTATTTATAGAATCCCAGAACATGTAAAATGGAGTCAGATGTCAATGGATGTATTCGTCAGCTTGTGGTCTGATTTCATGCGCGATGTGGTCAGTGATGTGGACTACCTGTTGGCCAACACAGACCTCAAAGTGGTTGTATATACGGGTCAATTGGATTTAGTGGTAAACACATTGGGAACACTCAATTGGGTTCATTCACTCCAATGGCCAGACCTGAAGAACTTCGAGATCGCAAAGAGGGAACAAATGAGCGGCGGTTACGTTAAAACATATAAAAATTTCTCTCTCTATTGGATTATCAAAGCCGGACATATGGTGCCCACCGATGCCGGCGACACAGCCCTCGCAATGCTTCACAAAATTATTCAATCTTAAATTGTTTAGCCAATTAGTAATAAATAAAATGAATATCTAAAATGTTTATATACTTCTAAAGTTTATTGAATTATGTGTTTACAGTACAGTATATTGATATTTATTATTGTTAATAATTCAAATTTAAATATCGTAACGAAAGAAAAAACTTTAGATTCAATAGAATTATATTATCAAATAAATTTAATTACATATTGTATATACAATATCTATATATTTCTATAACTTATTGCAACATAGGCATTTATTAATATTGCGGTTGTTTTTGTACTTTGTTAAAATGTTCATATAATTGATACAATTATTGAATAAAGTATTAAGTCTTTAAACCTATTATTGATAACACTTTCAAAATCATAAATAGTGTTAAAGAGTCGCTCTATCAGCCGATTAGTGCATTCGATACACTAGTCTCAGGGTATAAATAATGAGCAAACAAATAGTTATTAATTCAGCAATTTTTGTGTAATTAATTTTTGAATTATAAAAATGTTTATTAAATTATTTTCTTTTGTGTTTTTGGCGTACGTTTTGTATATAACTAATGGTAAGAATATTCTTGCAAAACGTGATTCTAGTTTATACAATATTAATGTTTTTATATTCTGTGGTATAATTAACAGATAAAGTGGAGGCATATAAGGAGGCGTCGGGTTATATGAGCGTACGTCCGGGCGCTCACATGTTTTGGTGGCTTTTCTACACCAACTCTAGCAATAACTCGAATGCACTGCCGCTGGTTATATGGATTCACGGTTTGTCACTTAAATGAAATTTAAAATTAATAAAAGGAGATAAAAGAATATAGTGATGCAAAAAAATGTTCCCAGGACTTTGAAGTGTATAATTTATATAATATAACTTTTTTTTGTAAAAATGTTTACAATCTTCATATATCTGTAAGTTTAATATGAATGACACTTTTGAGTACATAGTAAATACTCAATAGTTTACACAGATGTGGCAATATTTGTACCAAAGAATAATTAATTTAAATACATTGAAATATCATTAAAAGTAAAGTATACAAGCCATTTGATGAATAGGAGGCCCGGGTGGGAGCGCTACCGGTGATGGAAACTTTAATGAAATCGGACCGTTAGACTCGAGTTTGAAAGTGAGGAACACTTCATGGATTAAATACGCGAATCTGCTATTCATAGACAATCCCGTGGGAACCGGATTTAGTTATGTCGACAATAGCAGTCTCTACGCCAAGAATAACGATGAGATCGCCAAAGATTTGTTGACTTTAATAAAGGAATTCTACAAAAAGTCGCCAGAATTTGAGGTAAAAATAGAATTAAATTCATTGCAAACAATATTTCCAACAGAATCTGTGATTTGATTCCCAGTCGACGCCATTGTATATATTCGGTGAGTCATACGGCGGCAAAATGGCCGTCGGTTTTGCCAAAGAGCTGCATCGGGCCATTCAAAACAAAGAGATCAAGGCCAATTTCAAGGGCATAGCGTTGGGCGACTCCTGGATATCACCCATAGACTCGGTGTCCACGTGGGGACAGTATCTCTACACTTTGGTATGATTACCATAAATTTATATTAAATCACTTTCTTATTAATCAATTGTTTTATAAAGTCATACATCGATAGACACCAAAAGAGTCAAATCGATGCCAAAGCCGAAGAGATCAGAACCGCTCTAAAGAATGGCGAGTATGAAAAGGCGAGCAATAAGTACGCAGAAATGGCTGCTGTTACTCAAACCGCAGATGGTAATGTTAGCTGGCATAATATACTCTATGGATCACCCTTTAAACCTTTGGACGCATTAATGAACGGTCCCATTAAGACAAAACTTAAGTAAGTTATGATCATTGAAACAAACAAATGATATTTTAATACAATGTTATATAGAATCCCAGAACATATCAAATGGAGTCAAACGTCAATCGATGTAATCACTAACTTATTGTCTGATTTCATGCGCGATGTGGTCAGTGATGTGGACTACCTGTTGGCCAACACAGACCTCAAAGTGGTTGTATATACGGGTCAATTGGATCTAATATGTAACACATTAGGAACACTCAATTGGGTTCATTCACTCCAATGGCCAGACCTGAAGAACTGGGAGACAGCAAAGAGGGAACAGATGAGCGGCGGTTACGTTAAGACATACAACAAATTTTCTTTCTATTGGATTATTAAAGCCGGACATATGGTTCCCGCAGATGCCGGCGATTCAGCCCTCGCAATGCTTCACAAAGTTATTCAGTCTTAGATTTGTTGACCGCTTATTAAATGTACATAAACTGCTAAATTGTTTATAATAAAATCTAAAAACTAAAATGTTTATCAATATATCAATACTAAAAACATTTAAATTACAATTAAAACACGATTTAATTAAAAAGAGCACTAAAACAGATTTGGTTTATTGTAATCAAAGAATTTTACATAATTTTAAAGCAATGATTAGATTTGGTTTTAGTGGTTAAATAGCTTTTTCATTAGACTCTCGATATATCAA